GTGCCTCAGTTTCCCTGTCTGTAGACCTGCAGGGCTGTGGCATCTTCAGGGGCGTGGCTCTGCTGCCCGTTATCCTCGAGCCCTGACCTCCCCGACTGCTTCCTGCACCTGCTCTTTGCTCTCCTCACTCCACGGCGGGTCTGTCCACATATTCTGGTGACCCTACCTTCATTGTGTGTTCAGTGCCCCACCCCCACCACGTGGCCCAGTCCCCACCTGGGTGCTGCGGTGGCTCCTGGCTGGGATTCCACCTTCACCTTTGTCGCTGTGGGCTTTTCTCTCCATGGCAGCCGGTGGTTCTTCTCAAGCCTAAGTCATGTCAAGTCACATGGCTGCCCGCAAGCCCACAGCGGCTCCTGAGCGTCCCATGACCCTCACGGCCCTGGGGCCAGCCCCTGCCTGCCTTGGTGCCTTCACCCCTGCGGCATCACCCTCACTCCCTCTGCTCCACACGCTGAGCTCTCCTGCACCCCAGAGCCTTTGCACTCAGGGCTGCCCTTTCCCGGAACACCGTCTCTCAGGTATCTGCAGGGCGGGGGTCCCTCTCTGCGGTCGCTTCTGCTCAAAGATCACTGCGTCAGAGGCTCCCTGGCCACCCTGGGTGTCTGTCTCCTCTTGCGCCACTGTATGCTTCTTCATGACAGCTGTCAGGACTGTGTACGCATCTGTCTCCCTCGGTGAGAACAGAGCCCTCACCTGTCCTGTTCCCAGCTTGCACTCGGCCTCCGCACAGGGCTGCCACCCACGAGGTGCTCGGGAGATGTCGAGTGAGCGAGCGGCTGACGCAAGCCCCGGCTCGCTGGCTGCCGAGCAGAGGGTCCTGCCGAGCAGAGGGTCCTGCCGGCAGCTCCCGCCCTCCGCCCCGCCAGACGCGCACGCCAGAGCCTGCAGCTCACACGGATCGCGGGCTAGGAACAGTCTTCCAGGGTGGAAATCATCAAACAGGCCAGGGCGTGCGAAGAGGGGGAAACGGACGGAGTGAGGCCCCAGGACAGGCAGGCGGGGCTGGCAGAGAGAGCCACCGCAGGGTGGCAGGGGCAGGACCAGTGAGAAGGGGGCTGTGAGCCACAGAGCCAGACCTGGCCACCCCCCTGCCAACCTCCCCTCGATCCCCGACAAGACCTCACCACAGCCTGCCAGGCCTTGTTCCCACTCCCCGTGCCGTGCAGCCCCCAGCCACGCTCCTTCCCACCCACTGCGCAAAACCTTTCCCTGCCTTCGGCCTTCGTGCTTTCTGCTCCTCTGCCTGAACACGCTTCCCCCGAATCTTTGTGGGGCTCCTGCTGCAGGTCTCCCTAGAGACTGTCCTTGCCTTAATGACCTACTCCTCTTGGTTGGTGTGGGCATTCTCGCTCCAGGCCACGTGCTGTTCCCGCCGGAGTGGCCTTGTGCATTCCTCACGATGCATCCATGCGTTCCATGCTGCTGTCGCCCCGCCTGACAGCCGCGGGGACAGAGGCTCAAGAGGTTAAGTTCGTTGCCCAAGGTCACCCCGCTGGTCAAGTGGCCAAGCTGGTCAGTGAGCCCAGGGCATCTGACCCAGACCCCTGCCCGCCCCGCAGTCAGCTCCCACAGCGGGCTCCCTGGACTCCACTGCGGCCTCCCCCAGCGTGCCGACAGGTGCCGAGAAACCTCGACCTGTGAGGAAAGCCTGGCCAGACAGGTGTCTGTTGGAGCTGTGGAGCCCTGGGCCCCGCCCTGTCCCTCCGAGGGTGTTTTGATCTTGCTGTGTACCCTCTCGGGGACACATGTCTCCAGCACTTTCCTCCCCTCTCTCCGGGGACTCCCTGCCTCTCTCCCACAAGAGGGCCCAGTCTTAATGGTTCCTCTACTGCTGTCCCCAAGGCCTGGGCTTCTGCCTGCCTGTTTCCCCTCCCACCTCCCCTCTGCCTTTGGGGAGCCCAATATGTTTCTGTCTTTGGAAGGGGATCCACACTTGTTTCCTCTACTGGAGAAATGGGGTCTCCTCCAGCCCCTGGGAGCACATGTTTGTAGGGAAGCGTTGCTCAAGAGGGGCCTTCTTCGAGTTATTCCTCCCTTCCTGGGGCCTCTGGAGAGGAAATGAACCCTCACTAAGCTCCTGTGAGGCACTGCTCTGCTCTGGGTACTGCTGTAATTCTCCCAGCAGGCCCAGAGGGGAGGTTAATTTTTACAGAGGACCAATCTGAGGCTCAGAAAGGGTAAATCACTTGCCTGAGACCACACAGCATGAGCTGCAGGCCTCCGATTAGAATCTGGAAGGTCTGCATGGCTCCTCACTGTCTGAAGTCTCTCTCAATCAAGAGGCTTTCTGTTCTGCTGGTTTGGTAACATCTGGTGACAGCTGGGACTAGACCTCAGAATCCTGACCTGGCAGTTTTCTGGCAGGAGCCTTGGACTTGTCGTAGTGCACAGGTCCAAGGGGCTGCATGGTGGCAGTCTCTAGAGCGCTGCAGTCCCTGGAGTTGTGCAGTGCACGCAGCCAGCTGCTGGAGCTAGCCTGCCTTTGCCTCCCGGTGCCCAGAGTCTACCTTGTCTGGGTTGTCAAGAGCTCAGGAGCCCCTTTGACAATTGCTTCAAGTTTTGTTTTGTTTTGTTGGAGACAGAGTCTCACTATGTCACCCCAGCTAGCGTGCAGTGGCACAATGACAACTCACTGCAGCCTCAAACTCCTGGGCTCAAGCAGTCCTCCCCACTCAGCCTCATAAAGTGCTGGGATTACAGGTATAAGCCATGGTGCCCCACCTCTCCTCTCTTTAGACCAATCCACTGACCCACCTGCACGGTTTAAGTGGGAATCAGTAGTTCCTGTGGCCTTTTGTTTAAGGGGATTGAGCCAAGCTGCAAAATAAAAACACCATAAATTTTAAATGTACTGGTATAAAAACTTAAAATTCATAGCAAAATGAAGATTGACAAAAGATCAGATAGTGAAAGATTGTTTTAAAATCTGTTGTCCATGGTACATCTAACGGGAAAGATTCTGTATTTAGAAGTTCAACATGCTACCTCTCTGCTTGCAAAACGTTCTCATCACCCCAGAGAGACACCTCATGCCCATCAAGGAAGAACTCCCCACCCCACCCCGGCCCCCTCTCTGGCCACCTCTCCTCTGCTTTCTGTCTCTTGCCTGGTGTGGATATAGTGCATAAAAGACATCCTGATTTGTGACCTTGTATGTCCGGCTTCTGTCCCTTATTTTTTCTTTCTCTTGTTTTCAGGGTTTACCCGCATTGTAGCGTGTGTCAATACTTCATTCCTTGTCACGGCCGAACGGTAGCCCATCACATGGGTCGTCCTTAACATGCTGTCCCTAAACCAGCAGTCTCCAAACCTGGGACCATGCCCTGCTTTCAGGAAAAATTTTTGAGTCAGTCCTTCCATTAAAAATAGACTTGGCTGGGCACGGTGGCGCACGCCTGCCCTCCCAGCAACTCAGGAGCCTGAGCCCGGAGGATTGCTTGAGGCTAGGAGTTTGAGACCAGTCTGGGCAACATAGTCAGACTTTGTCTCTTAAACTAATAATAACAATAACAAATGTAGCTTTTATTTTTTTGTATGTATGTTACTACTGTACTAATAATATATTCTGTACATTATAGAATCCATGTAAAGAATAGGCATCTTCAAAAGATGATTTTAATGCTCTCATATTTTTTCCTGTACCTGCCGTGGAATCACCACCCATCCTGGGCAGTGGCTATGGAAGAAAATGTGTCTGGCTCTTATGGATGTTATAGTTTCTTATTGTGCAAAAAATGGGAAGTAAAGGGAAGTGGAAAATGGACAATAAAAGCCCCCTCCAGCGTCAGGCCCATCCCAGGTCACACTTGGGGGCCCTGCCTTTTTGAGCATGTGGTCTATCCGTCAGAGCTGGGCCTTCCCATCCTCTAGTGGGGAGGGAGAGGCTCAAGGGAAAAGCGTGAACTTACAGAGTCAGGTCCCCAGGTCTGCAGCCTGGCTGTGTCACTTCCATGCCGGGCCCCAGCTGCCTGGTCTGCAAGGTGCTGAGGACGCTGAGCCCACTAGTAAGCTGCCGCGGCGTGACACAGCGCCCCAAAACTTGAGGCTTAACACAACAAACATCTGTGACCTCACAATCTCTGTGGTCCAGAATCTGCCACAGTCACAGCGCCGGCCAGCTTGGGTCTCCTCTGAAGGCTCAGCCGAGCGCGGGTCCGCTCTCAAGCCCACGCGCCTACAGTGGGCAGGATTCGGTTCCCGTGGGCTGTCGACTGAGGGGCTCAGTTCCTTGCCACATGGGTCTCTCCAAGGGGCAGCTCAGAGCACAACGGCTTCCATCAGGGAGGGGGGCAGGAGGGGAGCCAGAGTCTCTTGTCTGTGAGAAATAAATCACTCGGTCCAGCCACTCTTGGGGGTAGTCAAATGGCAGGAGGTGGAGTCTTTGGGGCCATCTCAGCCGCTGCCTCCCCCGCTGAGAAGTCCCTGTCACAGAGGGTCATTGAGGTCGCACATGCAACACCTTGGTACCCTGCAGTGTGCCCTGTATTTGGCAGGATGGTGACTGCCATATATTTCATTCATCACTGTCTGCTTGCCAGGCCTGGATAGGAGCCAGGACAGGGCCTGGGACCCCAGACCAGCCTGTGGCTCTGCAGAGGGAAGGGCACACAGATGGGGCTGGGCACGTGCCACCATTGGGAGGAGTCAGCCTGGGAGGCTAGGGCTTGTAGCCCCCAGGCTCCGTGTTCTGGGGGCTCAGTCCAGTTCTAGGATACCTTGGTGTCAGGGCCCAAGAAGACTTCTTGGGACCTGGCTGGGGGTTGGCAGGTGGGGCCACATCTGTGGTCAGAGGGTCCTCAGTGCCTGTGGCTGAGGAAGGAAGCGACTGACCCCACATGTGCTGTGTGACCCTGAGCAAGTGGCTCTCCCTCTCTGGGTCTCCCTTTTGAAATGCCTGCTTAACACAGGCCTTGTGGCTCACAGAGCGGCTGGCAGCAGGCCAAGGGCGCGTTGGGGGCCTGCCTGGGTCTAACCCTCGCCGCCTCCCCGCCCCGCAGCTGTTCTCCATCGTGGTGTTCGGCTCCATCGTGAACGAGGGCTACCTCAACAGCGCCTCTGAGGACGAGGAGTTCTGCATCTACAACCGCAACCCCAGCGCCTGCAGCTACGGCGTGGCTGTGGGCGTGCTCGCCTTCCTCACCTGCCTGCTCTACCTGGCCCTGGACGTGTACTTCCCGCAGATCAGCAGCGTCAAGGACCGCAAGAAAGCCGTCCTGTCCGACATTGGTGTTTCGGGTGAGCCCCGCCCGCAGGTGCCCCCTCTGCACATGGTCTGCAGACGCCGTCCCAGCCAGGGCAGGGGGCTTTCACCCTTCTCCCCATTTTCCAGATCAGGAAATGAGGTGCAAGCAGGTGAAGGGACAGACAGGGTCACAGGCTGGCAGCAGGAGGGCGGCACCAGGACAGGGCCCGAGACCCCAAATAGCTCATGCTCCTGGGGGGCAGGGGAGCCAGGTGGGGCTGGGCACCTGCCAGCCCGAGGAGTCAGCTCCTGTCCAGTGGCCTCTTCTGCACCCCGCCCTGGAGCAGCCCCACAAGAACTGGGCAGCGGGTGGCTGGACGCCCGGCACTCGGTGGTGCCTGAGGGCCTCAGTCTCCCTCCTCTCCTCCCCAGCCAGACCTGGCAGGATCAGGACGTGGAATTGGGGAGCCAACCTGACCTTTGCCCTTCACAAACGACCCTTGGCAGAGACAGGTGACTCTGCCTGAGCCCGGGAATCTGGCTGGCGGGTGCCTCGGTCAGGGGCAGGGCCACAGGCTTCAGCCTCCCTGGCCTGAGGCCGTGCTCTTGGTTTCTGAGCCAGGGCTGCCCCCCTCCACCCCCGTTTCCGGGCATGGGGCTCTCAGGATGCCAGGCTAACTGCAGGCAGTGAGGCCTGGGGCCCTCAGACTAGAAGGAACTAGAACTACCTGAACACTCCTCAAACTTCCAAGGAGCCTCAGGGTCCCCGGCAGGGCCTCTGGGAGGTGGGCAGGGCCCCAGGTGCCCCACCACCCTGGCCCACGCACACCGTGTCCCGAGCAGCTCTGGGCACCCACAGGCTCCCACTACTAAAGCCCCAGACTGCAGCTCTCAAAGGGGGCCTCAGTAAAGTCGGGGATGTGGTGAGGCTGCAGCATACCAGGTGTCGCCGCCCAGTCTCATCCTCTGCCCACCACACCCCGATTCTCCAGAGGCCTGTAGGAGGGCTGGGGCAGGGTCCTCTTCCCTGGAGAGCTGCGGGCCTCGGGGCTGGACCGTGGGGCCCAGGTCAGGAGGTGGCTGGAGATCGGGGTTTGGCAGGGCTGGAGTAGCGTGGCCCAAGTTGATCGCGTCTTCTCTCTGTCTCTCCCTCTTCCTCCCCTCTCGCTGCCTGGCTCTGCCCTGCCCTCCTTGGCCATTCTCCCCCTCTGCACCTGCCTGGTCTCTCTCTTCTCGCCTGCACCTTCTCTTGGCACCCCCCACAACCCTTGTGCCTCTCCCTTTGGGGGCGGGGGAGCGTGGGGAACGTGCTCTTGAACTTCCCCCTGCTCCTTGGTTTCCCTGCTTTCTCCCGCTGACCTTCTCCCCCACGGTGGTGCTGCGCCTGTTCTGCCTGGCCCTGGCGACCCCCAGCCTTCTGGGCCTTCCTCTGGTTCGTGGGCTTCTGCTACCTGGCCAACCAGTGGCAGGTGTCCAAGCCCAAGGACAACCCGCTGAACGAAGGGACGGACGCGGCCCGGGCCGCCATCGCCTTCTCCTTTTTCTCCATCTTCACTTGGGTGAGTACAGCCGCCCACAGAGCCCACGCTCCTCCCCCGCCAGCTGCGTCGCTGGGCTGCCGGCCTCTGGCACCGCCAGGGACTGGCTCTGCCTCCTGGAGCCCACACTTGTCCCTGCAGCCTTGAAGCCCTGTGGCCCTTGCCAGCAGGACAGTCGCGTGGGATGCAGACCCTGGCTTTGGTGCAAAGCAGCCTTCCTGGGGTCCTGCCCCCCCCCAACGGGCAGGGTTATTATACCCTTTTACAGATGAGAAGGCAGAGGCCTGGATAGGGAGATGGAGCTTCAGGGCTGGACGAGCCAGGCCTCGGCCTTAGGAGACCTGGTTCCAGCAGGGCCGCCTCTGGTTTTCCCACCCTCGGCCTTCCTGTCTGTAGAACGAGGGATGGGATCTGGGGCCAGCAGAGTCACGAATCAGGGTCCCCCAGGCCCTCCTGAGAGTGCTTAGCTCCTGTTGCCATGCAGGAATGGGAACCTAGAAAGGCCAGAAATCTAAATTCTCACATGAAATCTGTTCTTTATGTGTTGCCAGTTTATTCAAGTTTTAAAAAAATACTGTGTGGGCCAGAGAAAACATGTCTCTGGGCCTGGCTGGCCAGAGACTACCGCTTGCAGGCCCTGGCCTGCGGTCTGGAGGCCCACCAGCACGACAGCAGGGCTGGCCCACCTTTCCCTCAGTTTCTTCTCTCCTAACCGCCCTCCTGCAGAGATGCAGGTCACATCAGCCCCACCCCACCCCAAGGCCTTTCCCTTCCCCAGCCAAAGCCCCTCCCCCCTGCCAGGCTGTCCAGCCGTCCTGGGAGACCCTTAAGGCCATGTAGGCTACCAGCCCTCCCTCCCTCCCCCATCCTCCCGGGCCTGCCCTGGGGTGACTTCTTTCTCTTTTTGAGGGCATCTGGTTATCCATTCTTTTCTGGGACACCCACCCCCAATACAATATTGGGAGCTAGAGTTTGGAGGGGAGACCTGTGTTTCAGGCCCTCACTGGCCAGCCATGGCTGCTCCAGCCCTTGCTGTTCTCAAGACTGAGCAGGAAGAACCAGGCGACCCCAGGGAATCTTAGAGCAGAGAAGGCCCCCAGGAGTGGGGACCACCCAGCCTACAGGGAGGAGCTGGGAGCAGTAAGCTCTAAGATGTGGGCGGGGCTCACAGAGGAGTAGTGGGTGATTGGACGGCAAGATTCCTACGGGCAGGTCTGAAGCACCTGACGGACAGGTGCCTGCCCAGCCTGCTGAAGCCACCTTCCCCACTGGCACCTTGTCCTTCCTGGCTCTTCCCCACTGGCCTCACCCCTGCTCTCTCCTGGCAGAGCCTGACTGCAGCCCTGGCCGTGCAGAGATTCAAGGACCTTACCTTCCAGGAGGAATACAGCACACTGTTTCCCACCCCGGCACAGCCGTAGGCCTCCCCGGCCTGCAAGGCGGGCAGCCCCGTGTCACCCCCGTGGTGCGGTGAGGCTGCAGGAGCAGCCTGGGGCTGGAGATGTCCGGATGCAGGGCGTGCAGGGCGGTGGAAGGCTGGCTTGAGGAGCCAGTTCAGATTTGCCACTTACTCATCCATTCATTGCCTGCTTCGTTTATTCCTCACATGTTCATTCATTCAGTAAACATTTATTGAGCAGCTGTTTTGTGCCTAGTGATGAATTAGCTGGGATCCCTGGCTGGGGAGCCCCCAGGCTGGGGAGGGGAAGACAAACACACCAAAATGTCCCCAAAAAGACTGCCAGGGCTGTTAGGGGGCTGCAGCTGGCTCCATGCACAGGCTGCCAGGAGGTGTCCAGGGACCTAGGTGCTGAGCTGTGGACAGAGGGTGATAGCCTGTCCCACAGCATGTAGTGTGAAAGATGATCTCACTGTCCCCATGGAGCTGGCTACCAGAGGGGCCTGACCTAGGGTGTCAGAAAGGACTCCTGTTCTGGCTCTGCCCTCATGTGCTGTGTGACCCGGATAAATCTCGGAACCTCTCTGAGGCTTAGTTCACTTCCCTGAATTGAGGGGATGATCATGGATCAACTAAGGCCATGGTATGGATTAAACAAAGGCCAGCACAGGGCTTGGCACAGGGATGCTCAATAAATGTAAGCTCTTGTTCATTCATTCATTCATTCATTCATTCATTCATTCATTCATTCATTCTCTCCATGATTATGGAGGTCAGGTGTGCCTCCATAGCCTCTACTTTGGGAGTGATTCTCATACATTCTTCCAAAGGACTTTGGCCTCCAGTTCTACACAGTTTGTTCCTTGGGGCCCTCAGCTGCCTGGGTGGGAACCCACCTGTCCGCTGTCTGCAGGAGTTGAGGAGGCGGTGGAGCACAAACAGACCCCCAGAGCAATGCTTCAGCCTTGCTTGGGGCTGAGCACACAGAGAGTGAGCTTCCTGGCTCTGGAGGCATACAAGTGCAGACTGCTTGCTGCGCAGTGGCCATGCATGATTTTTAATGCTCTCTATTTTTTTCCTGTACTGCCGGTGGCAATCACCACCATCCTGGGCCAGTGGTATGTTTAACGAAAATGGGTGTTCTGCGCACTCTTATGGATGTTGATAGTCTTCTATTGGTGGCAAAAAATTGGGAATTGTAAAGGGAAGTGGGAAAATGGACAATAAAAGCCCCTCCAGCGTCAGGGGCCCATGCCCAGGGCTCCACTTGGGCCCCGCCTTTTGAGCATGGACTCTATCGTCAGAGCTGGGCTTCCTTCCTCTAGTTGGGGAGGGAAGGCCTCAAGGGAAAAAGCGTGACTTACAGAGTCAGGTCCCAGGTCTGCAGCCTGGCTGTTCACTTTCATGCCTGCGCCCCCAGCTGCCTGGTCTGCAAGGTGCTGAGGAGGGCTGGAGGCACTAGTAAGGCTGCCGCGGCGTGACACAGGGCGCCCCAAACTTGAGGCTTAACACAAACAACATCTGGCTGACCTCACATTCTCTGTGGTCCAGAATCTTGCCACTAGTCACAGCGGCCGCGGCAGCTTCAGGTCTCCTCTGAAGGCTCAGCGGCCGAGCGGCGGGGTCCGGCCTCTCAAGCCCAGCGCGCCTTTGGCGGTGGACAGGATTCGGTTCCTGGTGGCTGGGTCGACTGGAAGGGCGCTCAGTTCCTTGCACAATGGGTCTCTCCAAGGCGCAGCTCAGAGCACAACGCTTCCATCAGGAGGGGCAGAGGGAGCAGTCATTTGTCTGTGAGAATAAATACTCGTCCAGCCATCTTGGGGGTAGTCAAATGCGGGAGGTGGAGTCTTGGGGGGGCCTCTTCAGCCGCTGCCTTCCCCCGCTTGAAGAAGTCCCATGTCACAGAGGGCTCATTGAGGTCGCACACGTGCAACACTTGGGTTACCTGCAGGTGGCCCTGTATGGTATTATTGACTTTTCTTTGTGGCAGGATGGCTAGACTGCCATATATTTCATTCATCACTGTCTGGCTTGCCGGGGCGGGATAGGAGCCAGGACGGACCTGGGACCCCAGACCAGCTGGTGGCTTCTGCAGAGGAGGGCACCATTGATGGGCTTGGGGCACGTGCCCACCTTGGGGCGAGGAGTCAGCCTGGGAGCTGGGGCTTGTAGCCCAGGGGCTCGGTGTGTTCTGGGGACTCAGTCAGTTCTAGGATACCTTGCGGTCAGGGCCCAAGGAAGACTTCTTCGGGACCTGGCTGGGTTGGCAGGGTGGGGCCACATCTGGTGGTTCAGAGGGTCCTCGACGGGTGCCTTGGTGGGCTGGAAAGGAGACCTGACCCCACCTTGCTGTGTGGCCTGAGCAAGGTGCTCTCCCTCTCGGGGTCCCTTTTGAAGCATGCTGCTAAACAGGCCTTGTGGGCTCACAGAGCAGCTGCAGGCAGGCCAACGGGCGCTTGGGGGCCTGCCTGGTCATAAACCCTGCCGCCTCCCCGGCCCGAGTTTTCCATCGTAGGTAGTTCGGCCGTCATCGTGGAACGGACGGGGCGTACCTAACGCGCTCTGCAGACGGGGTTTCTGCATCTACAACCGCAACCCCACGCGCTGCAGCACGGGTGCCGTGGGTGCGTCGCCTTCCTCACCTGCCTGGGCTCTACCTGCGCCCTGGACGGTGTACTTCCCGCAGATCAGGGCTAGCGCGTCACGGACCGCGAAGAAGCCGTGCCTGTCCGACCGATCTGGACGTTTGGCGTGAGCCCGCCCGCCAGTGCCCACCCCCTGCATACATCGCCGTACTGCACGCCGTTCCCAGCCAGGCAGGGGGCATTTACACCTTTCCCCATTTTCCGATCAGGGGAAATGAAGTGCAAGCAGGTGAGAGCGACGACAGGGGTCAACGGGCTGGGCAGCAGGGAGGCGGCCACCAGGACAGGCCGAGACCTCGACAATATGGCATGGCTCCTGGGCGGGCCAGGTTGGGCTGGACATGGGCCAGCCCGAGCGGAGTCAGCTCTGTCCACGTTGCCTTTCTGCACCCCGCCCCCTGGAGCCAGCCCCACGAACTCGGCAGCGGAGTGGCTGGCGCCCGGCACTCGGAGTGGTGCCTTGAGGGGCCTCATCTCCCTCCTCTCCTCCCCAGCCCAGACTGGGGGCAGGATCAGGACGTGGGATTGGGGAGCCAACACTGACCTTATGGCCCTTCACAAACGACCCTTGGCAGAACAGGTGACTCTGCTCGGGCCCGGGAATCTGGGCTGGCGGGGGTGGCCTCGGTCAGGCAGGGGGCAACAGGCTTCAGCCTCCTGGCCTGGGAGGCGCTCCCTCTTGCGTTTCTGAGGGGAGCTGCCCCCTCCACCCCGTTCTGGTGCCATGGGGCTCTCAGCGTGCCAGTCTAACTTGCAGGCAGGTGAGGGCCTGGGCCTCAGACTTTAGGAAGCGATAGATACGAACACTCCTCAACCTTCCAAAAAAGGAGCCTCGAGGGTCCCCGGCAGGGCCTCTGGGAGGGGTGGCAGGGCCCCAGCATGCCCCACCACCCTGGCCACGAACCGTGTTTCCCGAGCAGCTCTGCGAGCCCCACAGCGCCGTCCACTACTAAAGCCCCAGGCTGCAGCTCTCAGGG